CCTTGAACCTGGTATCATAGAATTCCTACCTATTAAGCTGTTAAGATCACCAACTCAACCCATAACCCATACCGGGGTGTTCCCCTAGTTCCGATATTCAGAGCATTTTGACCTGAATCCATAAACAAGAGAAAGTTATGTGAGATAAAAATGCAATTACCTGGTATTTTCTTATCACGTTGAACAAAATGACATGAAATCATGTGGATATAAATCATGGACAAAGAACAAAGAACTATAGATCTTATAACTCTTTTTGTTCATTTAGCATTCCAGATGTAATACAACAAAAATCGTCAAAAATAATGAAAAATGTTAGTACAAAAATATTACACAGACATGATAAAACGCATTGTCTCCACATTATATATACAACAAAAAATGCAAGATTATTACCTGTATGGCGTCCTACCTGTGGCACCAGGAAATATAAGTTAGTAAAACTCAATAGTAATAATACATGGTACTATGCAATAGTAATAATACATGATACTGCAACCTGCCAAACTTGATCAATAGGTGATGGCGGTCTAAGAATTGGACATGGTGCCACATAATCAACAAATTATCAAAAGGCTGTAGATGTAAATTAGAATTTCAATAATATGTATTTGAGATTCCTACCTTCCATGTAACCAAATCAGCATAATCTTGGAAATGGAAATAAAACTTCTTCTTCAGGCATTGCATTCTTAGACAAACAAACAAATACATTACACATAAGCTGATAGGTAATGTTAGGTGAAAAAAATTGTTTTCTTGAGAATTAAAAGCAGAAAATATCAAGACATTATAATAAAAACTCAATGGCTCACATTACATAAGTCCAGCAGATTTTAATACAGGACATAAAAAAAACGAGTTCAAAAATCTTTATGATTTTCATCACTACTTATACGACTCACCAATGTTGGGTCATTTTCTTCATCCATATGAATGAGAGAATGCGTTGTTTCAAACCACTTAAAGAAGAAGATTCAGGAATATGTTAGATATGATCCGAGGCATTCACTACTTTAGCTGTTCTACATTTTCCCGAGTTGACATACACTGAAATTTAACAATAAAACTGCCCATCAAAACCAACACAGATAACTAAGTTATCATCAAAAAACTGTAAAATGAAATAAAATTATAAGTTCTACTTTTCCCCAAGTTTAAATAGACTGCAATTTAACACAAAAAAAAATGCCCATCAAAATAAACCAAATAACCAAGTTCTCAACAAGAAACTGTAAAATGAAATAAAAATCTAAAAAGGAATAAAAAATAGATCAGTATTCATTAAGCTCATCTCTTCCTTATGGTGTCAATTTAAGAGCGTGTGACTATACCAGTTGCCTGATCACTGGAATCGGGGAAAAGCTCATCATCTTCACGGCAATATTCTCCAACCGACCGCACATCAACAAGATCGCCAGAGTCGAATCTGAAGAATCGGATTCTCTGATTTGCTGATTTCATCAAATCAAAAGCGAAAAAGTTTAGACAAAAAACGATCTGAAAACGCTTCCAATTTGAAGAATATGCGACTAAAAATTAAAAATTACCATAAATCAACGAACAACTTTTGCTGAACCATCTGCATCCAATATTGTTGTTCGCCGTCGAATTTTGAATTGAAAAGGTGTATTGTGGGTGGTGGTGCAAGAGAACCGATAACCCTAGACGTTCTATCTCACCCCATCGGTTTTCTTTTCCTTCACCAGACTAGAAGATAGAGAATGGATTGGTTTTTAATAAATAATGAAAATTCCTTAATTTTATGTTTAATGTAAATATTATATAATATATTATAGATTTAATTCATGTATTACTAACGCATACCAACCGTTAGCAATAACTTTTCAATTGTTACTAATTTAATACAAATAAATTATTATTAATTCTAACGGATAATTAAATTTTCTAACGGATATAGCCGTTAACAATTTCTAACGGCATATATCCGTTAGAAGACACAAACTTATGCCGTTAGAAAAATCTCATTTTGGTGTAGTGATATATATATACATATATATATATATATATATATATATATATATATATATATATATATATATATATATATATATATATGTGTGTGTGTGTGTGTGTGTGTGTGTGTGTGTGTACCGTCTCAAATCACACATATACACAATATAAACATTTCAATTTTACCTCAATCGTTATTTCATTGAGGAACGTTACCAATTTACCTTCACCTTCTCGGATTACCTCTTAGACCTTCTCATTTTACCTCTTAGACCTTCCTTTCATCATTTCATAAGGAATAAGAGTAGATCCCTTACAAGGGAGTCATTGTTTTACACATACATTCATTCATTTCTTGATTAGGTGTGTGAGAAAAATATTTTTGTTCGGATATCCTTTGAAAAACCAAACAAAACATTAGACAATAAGTCTTCATTTATTTGGAACCCGTTTCATAAGTTGAATCAAACCGCACACTCTTCATCTCATTTTTTGGGTACTCGACCCTCATACCCCGTGCTTATTCGATCTAAGTTTTGCAAGATTTTCCAACTTAAAAAACGTGCAAGTGAGGTTAGTATATATGCTTAATTTTCACATATCCAAAGGGAGTACACTTACTAACCACGTAGGTCGATATACATACACATAGAAACCTATATTCATATATAACACATAGAGATTTTTCTTCGACAACGCAGGTTTACGAAAACAATGGATCAAAGTTTCTTTAAGATTACGCAGGTCTAGTATATTTATATATATATATATATATATATATATATATATATATATATATATATATATATATATATATTTTCAAGATTATTTCATTTGAAGCTTAGATCTTATTACATGCATGGATGATCAAAGCATAAAGTTCAACACAAAAATTTATTTTCTTCCTCCTTTAGTTTTCGGTCATCACAAGAACATTAACAAGAAATTAAAGAGAAAAAAAATACTATTGGTGTTGAAGCACTTGTAGCAAGAATTCAAAAATTCTCACCTTAATCTTCTTAGAAAATTTGGAAGGGTGTTCTTTCCTTTCTACAAGGAGAAGAAGAAATTTTAGAGAGAGAGAGGAAGAAGAAGCTTAGCTTCTTGAAATTTTTGAAAATGAAGAAAATAAAGAAGAGGAAGAAGACTTACTCCTTTTGCCAATAATCTTACTCTTGAAAGAGAGATTTTACGACTTTCCTACACACTAATTTCGAAAATTGGGAGAAGAGGAGAAAGATATTTTGATTTTTTGATCTTGAGAATGTGTGTATAGAAGATGAGAAAATAGATGAAGGCTTGGGTTCTATTTATAGAGTTGTGCAAGCATTTGGGGGTTTTCTTGGAATTTTCTCTTTAGTTGAGTTGGATTGGAGATGGTTCTATGGCTTGAGCTTGAGTAACAATGGAGTCTTGGTGAGGGGATGGTGGTGATGGCCGAAATTAGAGAGAGGAATAAGAGAGAGAGTGGGTTTCAAATGCTTAGGTGTAGAGAGAGAGAGTAAGTGGGTCTTGTATTGGAAAGTAAAGTGAAGTACCATTCTCAATGAAGAAAGTACAAGTCACTTAAGCTTCCAATTCTCCCAATTAATGAGTCTTTCTACATTAAATAATTGTACACATGGAAAATAAAATCCATCTATGTCTCCACATGGCCGAAAATTACAAGAAAAGTGGGGAACATTTTATTTCTAAGTTTATTCACTCAATTAATTATCTAAAATGCATGAATTTATTCTTATTCTAAAATTTAGTGTACACATACATATATACCAACTATCCAATATAAATTCTAGAATGCAATACTCTAATTAATTTATGAAATTTTCCAATTAAATATTTGTCGTGTGAAATTTTCAAATATCATATTCTAATAAATCAACTAATCACGTAATTTAAGTCACACATAAATTACATCAAAAATGCATGTTTAATTATGCTAGCTCATAATAAATTATCCTATTAGCACATAAAAAAATTCTAAACGTAAATACTACTTATGGAAAATAATAAAAATATAAAAGGAGTAATCCGAAAGGGCGGGTTGTTACAAATTGTACTGTCGTTGACTGTACATTAACGTAATTGTACTGTCGTTGACAGTACATTTATGTAATTGTATTGTTGTTGACAGTACAATTACAGTCAGCGACAATATTATTATTATTATTATTATTTTTGTGTTCGCGTTTTTTGTGTTTGATTTGTTGACAAGACAACGTATTATGTTACTTACGTTGACGGTAAAATAACTGTAAACACAATAATATTATTGTCAACCACATCAATATTATTTTTTTTGGGTTTTTTTGTTTTGTTTGAGTTGTTGACGGATTAACGTAATAATATTACTGCAAACACAATAATATTACTATGATTGACGATAGTATAACTGTTGTTAGTAATATTACTGTGGAGTGTCAACCACATAAATATTAATTCATTTGGGTTTTTATCATGTTTACCTTTGTTGAACGGTGAACATATTAATAATACTCTATTATACAATAATAATGAATTTTGTTGTGTTAATACTGTGCTAGAGATTAATATAGCAAAATTATTGTGCTAAACTGTAGTAGAGTAAATATTACTGTGTTTAACAGTAATATAGTTAATATTACTGTCAACCACAACAATATTGTTGTTTAAACGGGGAAAAAATATGTTAAAGAGAAAAAAACTCAAAAAAAAAAAAAAAGAGTCAACGCCGGCGACACGGGAGAAATTGTACTCAAAATTGCGTTTTGGGTCAAAATTGAATAATTGTTGAAATTTGGGGTCAAATTGAGGTTAGATTAAAGCATGCAATTGGAGCATATTAAAATGTGATGGACTATTTTAGTCTTTTACAAACTTCTGAACAATGTGGGGATTTTTGTGTAAAAAAGTTTTTTGTGTGTACCCCTTTATGAAAAAGTATCCATTTGATGGACCTATCTGTAACATGGCTAATATAGATATATGTTTTGGACATTTTCGGGAATTTATTTGGGACCTATGTAAAGACAACTTGTAAATGAAGGTGTTTTCTGTGACCCATAATTACAAACTGGGGTTTGGGGATTTTTCTCCGATTAACCCAAACTTTGGCGTTGTAATTTTCATTTAGTGAGAGATACAAATAGTCAGTTTAAGCAGCAAAAATCCCACTCTGGTATTTGAAGATATTGGTTGCTTGTTGAGTGGAGCAGATAGGCGGCAAGAATGGTAACAATGGAGTCCTTCGTGCTCAAACTTCCACCTTCTTTCCGGATCATCAAACAAAGCCCTAACTGTACCAACCGTACCTTCCGCACCGTACCCTTTGCTTCTGCCACCGCTCCCGCTCCCTTATCCACCGACTCGCAACTCGGTCCTGGTTCCCTCGGCTATCTCACCCGACCCGATTTCCCCATCCTTCACCAGGCAATTCTGCTTTTATTTTGTGAATTCTCTCTCTCTCTCTCTCTCTCTGGGTTGTTGTGGAAAAAAATAAGTATATTTATGAAAAATTGATTCTTTTGCAGGAATTAAATGGTAAAAGGCTTGTGTATTTGGATAACGCCGCCACATCGCAGAAGCCAGAACCGGTGTTAAACGCTTTGCGGAATTATTATGAAGCTTACAATTCAAATGTTCATCGTGGGATTCATTATTTGAGGTAATTCGAAGGAATTTGATATTGGCTTTTATGTAATTTATTTGAAGTTACAGTTTGGGTTTATTATTTTTTTGTGTAGCGCGAAGGCGACGGATGAATACGAGTTAGCGAGGCAGAAGATTGCGAATTTCATAAATGCATCGGAGGGTAGAGAGATTGTGTTTACAAGAAATGCTACAGAGGCCATCAATTTAGTGGCTTATAGTTGGGGTATGTCGAATTTGAAGAAGGGAGATGAGGTATATATAATTTGCTTCATTTTTCTTATTGCGGTTTACTTCTTAATCGAGCATTTTGATGACTGTGAATTTAAGTTGAATTAAATGGCTACTTCACTGACAATTTATAATTACGGTTGAAGGGTATTGTGGTATTGCTCTCTCTCTCTCTCTCTCTCTCTATATGTAGTGCTACTTAATTTTCTGGTTATTTCTGGATAAATGAAACATCGCTTCTCTTCTTTATATTAATTTAAATGCTGAGTGACATATTTGTTATAAACGGGCTGCTTCTAGTCCATACTTTAACTCTATATTTGGCTGAAACGGCGGAGAAACTTTCGCCTCTTTGGATTTGATTGAGGCATGATACAGTTATTGAAGAATAAGCAGTGAACACTAACTTATGGGTGACACCTTATGGTTTGAAGTTAATGTAGTTTCTTTATGCCGTTAGTATTGATTAAGGTTGTAAGATCTCGTTGTCGTGTAACTCCTTGCACGGTATGCACATGAACTAATGCAGGTGTGTGTGTGTGTGTGTGTGTGTGTGTGTGAAGTCCAAATCAATTTTGACGATTAGCTAAAAAGTGTGGAATTCATATTTTCAGGTTGTGCTAACAATCGCGGAACATCACAGTTCAATTGTTCCTTGGCAATTTGTAGCTCAAAAGACTGGTGCAGTTCTAAAGTTTGTAAGTTTAACAGAAGACGAGGTTCCAGATTTAGGGAAGCTAAGGGAGACTCTTTCGAGGCAGACAAAACTCGTTGTGGTTCACCATGTCTCAAATGTTCTCGGTGAGTCTCGAAACTCTTAATTGTGTTTTCCACATATTAGAATTTGATTTCACGGTCGGTTTCCTTGGGTCAATCTCACAATTATCGGGCCTAACCTTTCCAGATCAACTCACCAGCATTCATCTAAATCTGTTAAAGATGTGTGTTTGTCATGTGTCGTACAATCTCACCATCTTTTGTTTGTCTGTTTACCGACACAGCCTCTGTTCTTCCAATCGATGAAATTGTAAGTTGGGCACACGAAGTTGGGGCCAAAGTGCTAGTGGATGCTTGTCAAAGTGTTCCTCATATGGTCGTTGATGTCAAGAGCCTTAATGCGGATTTTCTCGTTGCCTCTTCTCATAAGGTGAGGTCAATCCAATATGCTGCTTTTAACACTTAAACTCTTATCTGAATTGAAGAAATAATCATGCTTCAGATGTGTGGGCCTACAGGCATCGGGTTCTTGTATGGCAAAAGCGACATCTTGGCTGACATGCCCCCGTTTTTAGGTCCGCCTTACTTTCTCCTCCAATTTTTTTTATTTTTTATTTTATTTTTTATTTATTTTTTATTTTATTTTTAATATTTTCTGACTCCTGAATCTGAAAAAATCTGGTCATTGGTTATGTGTACGTAATTAGCATCACTAGAGTTTCGACTATGATTGCAAAATGAAGTGTTGGTGTACTATGACAGGTGGAGGTGAAATGATATCAGATGTGTATTTGGATTACTCAACGTACGCCGAACCTCCGTCCAGGTCAGTGTCTTATGTATGAAAGACTTTTGCAAAATGAAGTGTTGTCATTATTGTTTGTTTACAAACTGTTAAAAATAAATGAATCGTTCGATTAAACATTATTTACATTGTCTAGTGGTTTTACTTTTTAATAGGAAGTAATATATGCTTTGGTTGTTTACGGGTTATGGGAGAGAGATTATGGGGAAATGCATTTTGAGAATTGGATTTATTAAGGAAATGAAAAATGTGTTTGCATGATTTGTCGGGAAATAATGAACTTTTGTGGAAAACGCTTTCATTCATGTTCTGATTTTGCAATTATGTGTCTATGCCACTTTATATTAATAAGGGTAGATGTGCAAGCTTTTGACATATTTGATGTGCATATACTTATATCGCTGGCGTTTCTTCTTTCATTCCTTCCGAACGGGTTGCATTTTTTGGTGCCATATTTATTTATTCTAAGCTAAATCGGGTTTGAATTTCTGGTCTATGTTATGTAAATAACCTTAAACATGAAAGAACCTTTCTTTCAACATCCAATTGATCGGATGATGCATATCTTTTTTATATTGGTTTGTTTGATGTTTTCATATGTTCTGGGTGACTGAACGATAATTGCTGTGCCGACTTATTATTGTGATAAACTAATTTCTAATGAGACCAGATTTGAGGCTGGGACTCCTGCTATTGGAGAAGCAATTGGATTGGGGCAGCAATGTAAATTCCTCTAG